GTTCAGCACTTATTCTCTGGAAATGTGGTCCCCTCTGCCCTTCCTGAATGGGTTGATTCCTGAACAAGAGCTCATATTGGAGAAAAGTCCCTCAAGTTGGCCCAATCCTGCCCTAAACCTGAACACAGCGTTCCAGTTCCCCGTGTATGGCCAAGGGGAGAATGGGGCCAGGCCCCAGTGTATTTGTTCCCTCAGCAAGTCTGACAGGCTGTCTACAAGTGCTCAGAAGAGCTGACTTCACTCCTCAGACCACAGGCAGGACTCTGGCAGAGCTCCTCTGGACCAAGAGGGGAGAAGGAGATAAAATAGGTGAAAAACAGTGGCTGGTTTTCAAAGCACATGGTGTGTAGTTTTTCAAATGTTTTAAATTCTTAATTTGCACCTTTCTTGTTATTATCACTGCTATAGCCAATGGCACTTCTTTTTGTTTTGCCATTTGCCATTATTTTACCCCTTTGCTCCTTCTTTGACTTCACACAAGGGCATTTTAATTTTAAAAGAAAAGTGCATCCGGAACCAGTCCTATGACTTTCAGACTAGCTGTCTGGCACCCAGTTGGGCTCAACAGATGTTTGTTGAATGAATAAACGAATGAATGAAGTTATTCTCTCGAAAAAGTTCAGAGAAATCTTTACTGTAGCAAAGTTTTTTTTTTTCTTCTTAAGCTCAGGATTATCACTTAAAGTATCCTCTATGGATTTGAGAGGGAAATCGGCAGAGTTGATTTTTAGAGTCTTGAAGAAACTCTCAACCAAAAAGCTATGTGAAATGGAATGTTCATTCTTCTCTTGATTCTGACACCGTGTTTGAATAATGTGGGCCGTTCAACTTAAAGATTGAAAAGCAAGGGGACCCGGATCTTCCGCAGGTCCCTCCGGCCGTGGATCCGGCTCCGAGCCGGACAGGCTAAGGGCGCCGGGCTCCCGTAAGGGGAGCAGGACCCGGGCGATGCGCCTGGCGCTTGCAGGGCCCCTGGGGGCTCGTCCTTGTGCCCGGCCCAGACGCCGGCTTCGGGGCTGGAGGGACACGGGGGCCGGGGGTCCCGCGCAGGTGCCGGGCCTGTGCGCGGGGTGCGCCGGGGGTGCTGGGGGCCCGGGAGACCCGAGAGAGACGTTATTGTTACACTGTAACGAGTCTGATTAACATGCTCCTGACACTTGCTCTTAGTTTCTCGGGCTCCTAGCAACAGCGCACAAAGGCGCGGGATTGTCCCGGGCTCCGCGGGGACACGGGGCAGCCTTTGATCTGCCACCATTACAGCGGGGCTGCGCGACAGGCTCGCAGGCTCCGGGCGGCCCGCGGCGGGCGGGCGGG